ATTGCGTCCTGTGACAATCACTGTTTCATTTTAATTCCACAGCAGGAGGGGCGCCTGGGTGGCGCAGTCGGTTAAGCGTCCGACTTCAGCCAGGTCACGATCTCGCGGTCCGTGAGTTCGAGCCCCGCGTCGGGCTCTGGGCTGATGGCTCGGAGCCTGGAGCCTGTTTCCGATTCTGTGTCTCCCTCTCTCTCTGCCCCTCCCCCGTTCATGCTCTGTCTCTCTCTGTCCCAAAAATAAATAAATAAACGTTGAAAAAAAAAATTAATTCCACAGCAAGAGAAATCCCTGGCTATTTAGTTTTTCCACTAGTAAGGAACTGTTACCAGCCCCCTCCCCTATTTTACCTGAGGCATTCAGGGGGAGCTTGTCTGAGATCCTGAGGACCATGAGGGGTGGAGCTGGGTGAAGCCAGGCATGTTTGATACTAAAATAATGCTCTTAGATGTCCTGCCATGTGGCCTCCTGATTGTTCTCTGGTTTCCTTTTTTCCTTCTTTTGAATAATTTTGTAGTTGGCATTGACGACGATGATTTTTTTTTTAACGTAAGCTCTAGAACCAACGTGGGGCTTGAACTCATGACCCCCGAGATCAAGAGTCACATGCTCTTCTGACCGAACCAGCCAGGTGTGCCCCCATACCCCGCTTCTATTCTCTGAAATTGATTCCAAATGAATCAAATATTCAAATGTAAGAAAAAAACAACAACCCTCACAAGTTCTTAAAAGTCTGTGCGAGTAATTTATAAAAAGGGGCAGGAAGGGGAGGGGAGGAAAGGCTTCTAAATATGATAGTAATGGCAGAAACCATGAAGGAAAAAAAAAGATGAATAGATTTGACTACAAAAAAGTTTTAAAATCTCTTTATGGCGAACACACTGGGGAAAACATTGCAACAGAAGGAGGAAACCCATAAACATAAAAGCAATTCTTCCAAATCAAAAAGAAAAATAGCCAACTCACTTCAAGAGAAAAATGAGCTAAATACATACATACATCATGCGGCGTCTGGGTGACTCAGTCAGTCAGGCATCCGACTTGGTTTCAGCTCAGGTCATGATCTTGCAGTTCGTGAGGTCGAGCCCTGTGTCAGGCTCCGCACTGGCAGTGCGGAGCCTGCCTGGGATTCTCTCTCTCTCCTTCTCTCTCTGCCATTCCCCTGCTCGAGCTCTTTCTCTCTCTCTCAAAATATATAAATAAACATTAAAGTATTTTTAAAAATACATACATCATACATACATACATACGGAGACACCTTATAAAGAAATCCCAAAGAGCCCATCACCATATGACCATATGCAATGTCATCAGCAGGGCTGGAACGAGGTGGATGGGGGCTGTGCAAAATTTAAGGAGGCTTTCACTCTCAAGATGGTTCAAGTACAAGGTGGGCAGCTCCTTTGAATTTATCAATTGATACAGTTCTTCTGGAGGACCGTCTGGCAAAAACGGATGAACGTTTTAAATGTGCAAACTCTTTGGCACAAAGATTCCATTTTTAGGAATCGAGTCTGAGGAAATAATTAGACGAGTGTGCCAAGGAACACATTCGGGATATTTGTTGGTAACATAAAAAAAAAAAAAAAAATTCTTGGGGCTCCTGGGTGGCGCAGTCGGTTAAGCGTCCGACTTCAGCCAGGTCACGATCTCGTGGTCCGGGAGTTCGAGCCCCGCGTCGGGCTCTGGGCTGATGGCTTGGAGCCTGGAGCCTGTTTCCGATTTTGTGTCTCCCTCTCTCTCTGTCTCTCGCCCGTTCATGCTCTGTCTCTCTCTGTCCCAAAAATAAATAAACGTTGAAAAAAAATTAAAAAAAAAATTCTAGGGACACCCCCCCTGAGGGACTAACTGGAAAAATTGTTATATCCACAGACAGTAGTACCCTGTGTGAAACGGAGGCTGCTGTCCTATAATTGTATGGAGAGAGATTCAGGACCTACCATGTTGGTAAGTGAACAGAACAGGAGACACAGCGCATATGACACGGTCCCATTTTGTCTCTGGGACATTCACCCAATGTTAACAGCCCCTATTTCCTGGCGGTAGGATTGGCTGCAGGTGATGAGTACTTTCATTTTTCTACCTCCTGTGTCGTATACATTTACAGGAGTTATGATTACCTTAACACTTAGAAAAGTTATAATAAAACTGGTTTTATCTGAAGGAGAGTAGGCGCGCATTGACTCGTTATTCTGTAACTTTACTGGCCGCACCCAGAATTCTGCCTCCTGCAGGGAATTCTCCCGGTGAATGATCCTTTGGCCCTAACCAAGTGTATTTCAGAGCTCCGAGGAGCCATGCTGTTTATCAACCAGCCACGGGAACAGAAGGATCTTTGACTCCTACAACTCCACCCAAATATACAGAAATTGCATCCAAAGGTCCTTCAGGGCTTTTTTGGGGCCTTCTCTCATTATGATCAGCAAACTTTGTGTATTCAGAATAGTTTCTTAACGGGGCACCTGGGTGGCTCAGTCGGTTGAGTGTCCAACTTTGGCTCAGGTCATGATCCTACGGTTCACAAGTTCGAGCCCCCCACTGGGTTCTGTGCTGGCAGCGTGGAGCCTGCTTGGGATTCTCTCTCTCCCTCTCTCTCTCTGCCCCTCCTCCCCCTCAAAAATAAAATAAACATTAATAAATAAATAAATATTCCCATGAACTTGGGGCACAAGGTCATGTGATATCAAAGTGAAGCATGAAGATGATTTAAAAAATTCAAAAGAAGTTAAAGTATATAAAGGGCGGAGTTCACCCCATCCTTTTAAAAATTATTACTAAAAAAAAAAACCCCACGCACTAAATATATGCATTTTCTTATTTTATCCAAACTTTAAAAAAGATGTTTATTTATTTTTGAGCGGGATGGGGAGTGCAGAGAGAGGGAGACAGAGAATCAGAAACAGGCTTCATGCTGACAGCAGTGAGCCCGATGCGGGGCTCGAACTCACAAACTGTGAGATCATGACCTGAGCCCAAGCCCCACGCTCAACGACTGAGTCATCCAGGCGCCCCCTATCCAAACTGTTGCATTTGATGCAAGATAGGGAAGGGGAGGTTGGATCTTCAAAGCTGACCCAAAGGATGCCTTACTCAGGGGTGGCTAGTCCCTCTCTCAGGGCCTCAGTTTCCCCATCCACATAGTGAGGCGCCTGATGATTTTTTGGCTCCAGTAACCCAGCTCCAGGTCTAGCCCCGGCAGAGGAGGGACCTGGAGTCCTGCCACCCGTGTCTCTGGGATACGGGAACAAAGAGCCACCCAAACAGGCGTTGCCTTGAGTCTCTCCTTGGCCTCATGCACCCAGCATTCCAGAATGGCATTAGGCTGGCCGGCTGGCCGCTGGAGCCCCTGTCCTGTATCTCTGGCCTCCCCGCAGGGCTCCCAGGCTGACCAGGCCCACAGCGGCTCAGGGAAAAACCTTCCCCTCCCCCAGGGTGGCAGCAGGAAGAGGGAAGAAAGAGGATCCTCTCCAGCTGGCCCAGGAGACAGACCTCCTTGTCCCCATCAGCCCTGCCGCCCTCCCTCCCCACCGAGGGCTGTCCGCAGGGGCTTGGGATCGGCCAGAAAAGTCAGGCAACTTTTCAGGGACCAGAAGGAGGGGAGGGGAGGGGAGTCTCCCAGCCTGTGAGAAGCAACAGCGCCAAGCCCTACCCCTCGCTGTGTCCTGTCCACAAGTCCAGACTTTGACCCTGAGCTTCAGTCCCCGTTGGCGGGCAGAGGGCTGAGGACAGGACGCCTCAGAATCAGGAGACTCCTCTCAGGAGGTAAAATCCTGCGCCCAGCTGTCTCCTTTCTTCAGAAGTTTGGCAATCCAGGTGAGTGGGGGCGGCGGTGCACCAGGACCCAAGGTCCTCCGGGCGTTAAGGAGAAGGCTCCACATTAGAGCCCAAGGCAGGTAGGTAACAGCCCTGGAGCCAAGGCAGGAACGCAGGCAGGTGCCTTCGCCTCTCCAGACTTCCTTTCCCTCATCTGGAAGACAGGGATCATAATCACCTCTTATGGGGTTAACTTGAGTATCAAAAGAAGTGATAAACAGAACGTACTGAGCACGGACTGGGCACATAGCAAGTACTCAATAAATGGTAATTATTATTTGGGGGCAGGGAGCCGATAGCCCGGTTATCAAGCATTTATAGAATCCATTCCATTTTCAAGATCAGTTGTGAAAATGTCAGCTTCCTAAGAAGTAGCCATAGGGCACAACCCGATTATGTTTATTCAAATACCTTGTCTGTGACTTGTTGATTTGTTTTAGAAGTCTTTCCTTTTTTTTTTTTTTCTTGGTAGATGCAAATAGCAATCAGAGGCCCAAGCTGGCCCAAATTCCTTTCTAGGGACAAGGAGGGTTATAAGCCAACACGTACCAAGACTGAAAAACAAGCAGAAAGCGTCAGGTGCTAACTTCCTGCCTGCTCCCTACTCGTTACACGGCATGGCAGAGAAAACTCAGCTAGAACAGGCTCCAGGTCCCAGCGCTGTCCCACACTGTTCGCGTGACGCTGGGAGAGTGACTTCCTCTCCCTGAACCTCAGTCCCGTGTCTGTAGAACCTCCCAGTTGAGAGGATTAAGTAAGAGGATGTCGGTACTAAATCTACACGTATGTGGTGAGCGGCAGAGACCCAAAATTCCCTTCCTGCTGCACACTTACGGAGACGTTATAATTACACACACACACACACACAGATAGATGTAAGAACCTCAGCATCTTCCTGGATGCACACTCCAAGCATGATTGGTTGAAGGGATGGCATAAGACCCTGGAGAAAGGCAGTGCTAATAGAAACGCGAGCAACGAGCAAATGGTTGACTTAGTAATCGAGCTGTGTGCATGGGAGTCTAAAACTTCATTAGCCCCATGCTTTATTGATTTTACCTGGGGCTGGGGCTGTCAAATCCTGCAGCCTAGCTCCTGCTTCTCGAGAGAACCTCCTGCATTTACACTGCACTTAAACACACACACACACGCATGCACACAGGGGCTCTAATCAGCATCAGATTGGATTCACGTAGTTCAAGAGGATTGGCTTTGGGAACACGTTTTCCCTCTTCAATTCTACGCCTGCCAGCGACACGCTAAAAATGCCTACAAACGTTTTATTTTATGTTTTTTGTTTTTCAGTGCGGGACCCTGAAATATCGGCTGTTTATTTCTCACCTGCTTAGCCCTCAGACTTCCCAAATAGTGTGATTTGCCAGCCCAGTGTGCCCGGTGCTCAGGCACGTGGACTTGTGTGAGTCAGGCTGCGCTGGGCTTTGCGTCTCACCAGCTGGGTGTCTGAGCCTTACTTGCTTCATCTGTCAAATGGGCAGAAGGGTAACGCTGAGGGTTGTTAGGAGCTGAAAACAGATACAGTGTGTGAAGTTCTCAGCGCCATGACATTCGCATGCCAGCAATACTCTTGTTGGACCTCTGTGTTGCCAACTTTTTTCCTGACTCCACCTATTCTTGCCTTTTACAGAGCTCTTTTCACCCCAAGACCCCCACGAACCCTTTTGTCACAAATGTGTCATTTTGGTTGAGTCTCTCCTCTTTTTCCGCACCTCCCTTTCCCCATCTGTGTAACAATGTCTAACTCCTTTTTAGAACTTGACACTCTGGAGAAACTGAGTCCAACAATGTTACTTACCCCTCTTTCTCTCGGCCATTTGGTTGGAGACGTTGCTCTGGGCCTCCCTCATGCTTTTTTTTTTTTTTTTTTTTTAATTTTTTAATGTTTTATCTAGTTTTCAGAGACAGAGCACAAGCAGGGGAGGGGCAGAGAGAGAGGGAGACACAGAATCCAAAGCAGGCTCCAGGCTCTGAGCCGTCAGCACAGGACCGGATGCGGGGCTCGAACTCACAAACTGTGAGATGACCTGAGCTGAAGTCAGAAGCTTAACTGACTGAGCCACCCAGGAGCCCCTTCATGCTCTTCTTTGGGGCGTGTGCCCCTGCTCCTAACCAGAGGCTTTGACACACGTGAACAGCCTGGTTATAGGGGACATGCCGAATCCCAGCTCTGCTTTGGTGCAAAGCCTCTTTCTGCTTGCCCAGAGACCTCTGGGGGGTTTTCACACTCTCCTTCTCATGCTTTACCACTTCTATTATATAAGCAACTCCTCTTTTCCTCCAGCCTTTGCTGGTTTTCTAGGTGATGAGATGACGAAAAAAAAAAAAAAAAAAAGAACAGGCCTCGGAAAAGGCAGAGCTGGGTTCACACCCCACCTTTCCTCCAACTCTTGTTATGATTTCAAATAATTTACCTTGCTCTCTCTGGCCTCAGCTCCCTCACCTGTAAACTGGGTGACAGTCACTGCTGTCATTTTATGAGCCCCCCAGTGGGTAGAACAGTAGATAAAACTCCCCGCCCTCCCGGAGCTGATATTCTGGTGGGGAGACTATAGGCAGGGAGCTTTGTTAACCCTGAACAGTTTATAGAAGAGGAAACAGAGACTTAAGTCAGCGTGACCAACTCATTCCGGTCTGGCCCAGGACTCTCCTGGTTTTAGCACTCAAGGCCCACATCCTGGGGATACCCTCAGTCCTGGGAAACTGGGACTTCGATCACCCGTGCTCAGTTAAGCGACTTGCCCACGGCCACACAGCTGGGGTGCGCCTGAGCCAGGCTGTGAGCCTAGTACGTCTGCCCCCCAGCCTGAGCTGTTACTGCCTCCCCCCCTGTGCTGTGCCTTCTTATTGTTAGTGCACAAAAGTGGGCAACTCTACGGAGTCATTGCAGAGAGAGTCAGAAGGCCCAGAGAGGGGAAGGAAGTTGGCCAAGGCCACACAGAGAGTCAGAACTAAAGCCAGATCTGATTCGCCCTTCTTCCTCTACTCCTTCCCCCAGTGTTCTTTCTGTTGTCATGTTCAAGGCGCTGGGGGACAGAAGGAGGTCACTACGTATTGAGGGCCTACTCTGTGCCAGGTGCCGTACTAGGAACCTTCACCAGGCTAGTGGTTTAATTTTCAGGATGACCTGGCGAGGTCAGGGTGACTCTTATTTTAAAGACGAGGGGATTGAATCTCCTGAGGCAAAGTGTGGGGGAGGAGGGGTGGGAGGAGGCTAGGAATCCCCAAGAGGGTCGGCCCCTGTAACCAAGCCTTGCAGCCGGAAGGGGAATGGCCCAGAGGAGCAATGCCTTTCCGTTTTGTGGTTTTATCTCCAACTTGGCTGCCGAAACCCCGACGGAGTCCAGTTCTTGTGGGCTGGAGCCGTTTTTCCCTTTTACAAAACTAGGCCATATTGAGAATGTCCTGCGGATCAGGGCCACGGGGTTGCCAGGAGGCTTGGTCTGAGGGAGGAGGGCTGTGAGTGTAGAGGAGGGAAAGTTGAACTTGGCCCTTCCGGACACAAAAAGTCCTCTTGTTCTGCCCCAGCAGGAGCGGACGCAGTATTTCCCTGCTGTGCTGGGCCCAAGCAGCTTCAAGGTCAAAAGCTGCTGGGCCTTTTAAACTTCTGAGGACGCAGCCAGCCCAGCCCCCAAGGCCGGCCCTGGCTGAGTGTGTGTGCTGCAAGATCTGAGTTCGAAAGCCGGACATTACACCCCGCTAGCCGCCAGCTCGGTGCCCGGTGGGTGTGCCAGAAGTCGGTGTTGAGTTTGCTTGGATCGAAATTGAATCCCGACAGCACCCCTTACTGGCTGTGTGACCTCAGGCAACTTACCGCACCTCTCTGAGCCTCCTTTCCTCATCCGGCCAACGAGGCCAATACCACCAGCCCCTGCCTCCGAAGAATGTGGGGAGACTTAGAAGAAATGATGCATTCGGGAAGCATTTAGTACCGGGGCTGGCACACCGTAGGTGTCCCACAAAAGTCAGTAAAACCACTGCTTTTGCGCCTGACCCTGTGTTAAGGGTTTTTACATTGGCCATCTTGTTAAATCTCCCATGTACTGTCCAAGCGAGGGGTTGTTTTTCCCATTTATCAGAAGTTGAAGTCTCATTTCACCGTCAATGGCCAGTAGGTGGCAGAGTTGAGGTACGAGACTTGAAGCTAGAGCCCATTGTCCCGATGGCTAGACTCCCAGCCCGCAGCCAGGCCCTCTGCTCCGTCCTTTTTATGTCCCCGGGCTGGGGCAGGGTATCCGGGGAGGCTCCCCAGCCAGAGAGGCATCCCTTCCCCGCTGTGTGACCTGGGGCAAGTTGCTTGGCCTCTCTGTGTTTCAACTTTTTTCCGTTCGTGAGGGTCATCGAGAGGGCCAGGTACAGAAGGGGCTTGGCGGTATCTGGCACTTTCTAAGCTTTCAGGGGATAGTGGTGATGGCGGTAACGGCACACTTCAACCCTTCCGTCCCGCAGGCCGGCACGATGCGCGTGGTAGTGATCGGAGCGGGTGTCATCGGGCTGTCCACCGCCCTCTGCATCCACGAGCGCTACCGATCAGTCCTGCCGTCCCTGGACATGAGGGTCTACGCTGATCGCTTCACCCCGCTCACCAACACCGACGTGGCGGCCGGCCTCTGTCAGCCCTACCTCTCGGACCCCAGAAACCCACAGGAGGCGTGAGTGAGGGTCCTAGAGACTGGCCCGGGGACTGGAGGGGCTGACTCTGATGAGGGGATGCTCCGGGTTCCCGTCACCGAGAACAAGCTCCTTGTCAAGACTTGGAAGAAAATACTAATAAGCATTAAGCCCTACTGTGTGCCCAATGGAGGATTTCCTCCATTCCTCACGTGATCCATGTGATCAGGAATACTTTTGGGGCTTTTTCCCCCCTAGTTTATAATTATTTATTTAAAGGTCATTTTCATCCAGGGGCGCCTGGGTGGCTCAGTCGGTTGAGCGTCCGACTTCGGCTCAGGTCATAATCTCCCAGTTCGTGGGTTCGAGCCCCGCGTCGGGCTCTGTGCTGACTGCTCGGAGCCTGGAGCCTTCGGATTCTGTGTCTCTTTCTCTCTCTCTGCCCCTCCCCTGCTCACGCTCTGTCTCTGTCTGTCTCAAAACCAAATAAAAAAAAACATTAAAAAAATTTTTAAAGGTCACTTTCATCTGATTTCCCCAGTGGCTAACAGAAAACAGAGCCTTCAAATCCCAGCAATAGTTGCAAAGAAGGACAAAATTCACTAAAGTTTTTGATGTTGAGTGCTGTAGGGAACAATTTTGCCCTCAGACACATATTTTCTTCCATATATAAATTCATAAGGGGGCCTTTCAATTCTTTTGAACTCATTCTAATTGCTATCTTTAATAGTCTCTTAGCTATATTTAATAGGTTATAGATCTGTTTCTCCTGAATTTGCCCATTGTGACACTTACTTTTTATTTAGTGGGGTTTTTTATTTATTTTATTTTTATTATAATTAAAGTTATATTAATTAAAATTATATATTATATATTATATTAAAATTATATTAAGTTGTATTAAAATTATATTAATCAAAATTATTATAATTAATAATTTTATAATTATTATATTATTTTATATATTTTATTTTAGTTTTTTATTTTAATTCCAGGTAGTTAAAATGCAGTGTTACATTAGTTTCAGGTGTACGACATAGTAATTCAACACTTTCATACAATATGTGGCACCCGTCACAACAAGCTCGCTCCTTAACCCCCATCACCTCTTTCCCCCACCCCCCACCCACCCCTCCTGTCTGGCAACCATCAGCATAATCTCCACAGTTAGGAGTCTGTTTTTTGGGTTGTCTCTCTCTCTCTCTCTCTTTTTCCCTCTTTGCTCACTTGTTTGGTTTCTTAAATTCCACATATGAGTGGAATCGTATTGTATTTGTCTTTGATGTATTTCACTTAGCATAATACTCTCTAGCTCCATCCATGTCGTCGCAAATGGCAAGACTTCGTTCTTGTTTATGGCTGAGTAATATTCCACTGTGTATATATAGACCACATCTTTTTATCCATTCATCAACCGATGGGCACTGGGACTACTTCCATATCTTGGCGATTGCAAATAATGCTGCCATGAACATCAGGACGCATGTATCCATTTGAATTAGTGTTTTTGTAGTCTCTGGGTAAATACCCAGTAGTGTGATTACTGGCTCATAGGGTGGTTCTATTTTTAACTTTTGGAGGAACCTCTGGATCAGGAGTACTTGTCAGTGGGTGGATGGATTAACAAGGACGTTGCAAAGGTTATTATGTCTGTTTAGAAACTGCAAACTGCTGGCAGCTTCAGAAATCCACAAGTATGTAACAACTCAGACCGAAGTTACATTCTCCCATACATTCCAAAACCAACGCTCCTGATCAGTGGGTGGCAATTCAGGGGCCCAGGCTCCTTGCATCTCATAGCTCTGCTGTCCTTCTCTGTGGCTTCTGACATGGCCACTGTGCCTTCTGATGTCAGTACGCCGTGCTTCTAGAAGGAGCACAGCATAAGGACCACACATGCAGTCCATTGGCCAGAACGCAGCCACACAGCCACGCTGGCTGCACGGGAATCCGGGAGATGTACCTGGGCTCTGTGCCCACGAATAAGAGAAGGAAAATGTCTGGGAGCCACGAGCTACAGTCTACTGTCGGCATTTACATGGGGGGTGCTCAGAGTGAGCCTGAACTGTGGGGCTCGAAGGCCTCAAGCAGGTCAAAGCCTTCGTTTATTATTATTTTTTAAGTGTTTATTTATCTATTTTGAGGGAGTGAGTTAGAGAGAGAGCAGGGGAGGAGCAGAGAGAGAGGGAGATAGAATCCCAAGCAGGCTCCACACTGTCAGTGCGGAGCCCAACACGGGGCTCGAACCCAGGAAACGTGATATCATGATCGAGAGTCGGACGCTTAACCGACCGAGCCACCTGGGCGTCCCCAAAGCCTTCTTTTAAACTCACAGCTACACGAGCCCAGGCCCAAGGTGGGCCCCAGATGGTTCCTTCCTTCTCTTTCCTATGAATGGGGAAATACTAGAAAGTCTGGGGATGGGGAAAACCCCTTAGGCATTTGGGACGCTTGCAGGAGTGAACATGCTAGATTTCTGGATTTGGACATATCTCCACCAGCGTGAGCATAACCCCACACAAGCCAAGCCTCAGAGTTTTCTTGTCCAGCTCAGGGTATTAGGTGACCAAGACTCTGGGGGATCCTTCCAGGGATTGGAACCAGCAGACCTTCGACTATCTCCTGAGCCGTGTCCATTCTCCCAACGCTGCAAACGTGGGCCTGGCCCTAGTCTCAGGCTACAACCTCTTCCATGAAGCTATTCCGGTGAGTGAGGAGTCCTTGACCATGGGGCAGAGCCTCGATCACAGACCAGGGCTGGGGACCCTAGTCAGGGAGTTACTTTGAGCCTTGTAGGTGGACCAACTCTTGCATTCAAATCAGGTTTACTTTAAATTCTCTTTTTGCTTTAAAATTATTTCTGGTTCCAATTTGGCTCTTAAATTGGCAGAGACCAAAGAATTTTCGGATGACGCAGGGGACCTGGTCTCTGGTTGAGTCAAACCCAGACACGTCTTGTAGTGGTGGTGATTTCATGTGGCAGCCGCAAGGCTTCCTGGGTCCCTGGAGGTCCCAGGACTTTTCACTAAGATAGATTAAAACACTCAGCGTGGCGCAAACTTCTGAAGCGCATTTCATGTACCAGGCCGTGTCCTAATTACGTTACAACTAGTGACTGGTTTCATTCTCATTATCACCGGCAAGTCAGCACTAGCATTGGCTTCTTTTCACAGATGAGAAAATAGAGGCTTGGGGGAATGGATCAGTAACTTGCTCAAAGTCAGAGAACCAAAGTGGCAGAACTGGGATTTGAACCCAGGCCCTCTGTGACCCCCGCGGTGCCCAATGTGCTAAGAAGGGCACAGCCTTGGGGGATGTCCTCAGGTTGCTTGAAGAGGAGAGTCTGGCTGGATGCCCGGAACCCCAGGCCAGCTCTCTAAGGCTTAGTCAATGTTTAGCACCGAGCTAAGGGCATTACCCGCATTGTCTGTTACCTTCTGTGGGACCAAGCGTGATTACTGACTCCATTTTACGGACAAGAAAATGGAGTCTCAGAGAATTCAAGGTGGTCTGTAGTCAGGCCCAAGCCTCCACCAAGTTGTCTGACCCTATTCTCTATTGCCTCGCATTCTCACCCCTTGGGAACCCTGTCACCTTCTTTTTCTCTCTTATTTCTGACTCTTACCCTCCCTATCACTCGCCCTCAGCCTCACGCTCCCCTTTCCTTTGTATAGCGTCACGGTTAAGACCATGGACTCTGGAGCCCAACTGTATTATTGGTTCAAACCTCAGGTCAATCATTTATTAGCTGTGTGACTTTAGACAAGTTACTTCACCTCCTGAAGCCTCAACTGGCCCATCTGTGAAAACGGAGATGAGAATAGTATCTGCCTCCGTGGATTGCTGGGGATATTAAAGGGAGTGGGATAAATAAAATGCTTCGAAGTGCACCTTCCACGCAGTACGCGTCGTTTAAGTTTTGTTACCGTTTTTATTGACTTTCACTCATCCCTGTGCCTTCTTCTCTCCTTCCTCGGCAGGATCCCTCGTGGAAGAACACAGTTCTGGGATTTCGGACGCTGACTCCCAGGGACCTGGACATGTTCCCTGATTACAGGTGAGGTTATTGTCATGGGCAAAGGGGCTACGGTCCCACGATTCAGACGGATCCGTCCAGGAGGCAGCGAAAGATGGAGACACCAAGTTTCCTGTCCCATCCCAGGCCAAGAGCCACCGGCACCAGAGACTCCTGGTGCTCTGTCTAGCTCTATTGGAGAAGCCACCCCCTCAACGGTACCCTGGGCTGGGGCGGTGGAGGATATGGAGTCACAGAACTGAAGCCCTGAAGCTCCCTATCGCCACCCTCTTCTAGATGACAAAAAGGGAGCTTCAGAGAGTCTAAGCAGCTTCCCAAGGTCACACAGCCAAATGACCAAAATGGGATTCTGACCCAGTCTGTGTGACCCCCAACACCTCTGTTCTTTTCCTTGAAGCCTAATGTCTCTTTGGTCCTCCCCTCACCCCACCCCATGCCTGAATCCCCTCTAAAAATGCATGTCCAATCTCCACTTGCACACTCTAATGTCAGGGATGGATTTTTAAACAATTTTTTATCTATTATTATTTTTTTTAATTTTTAAAATATTTATTTATTTATTTGAGAGAAAGAGACAGAGCATGAACAGGGGAGGGCCAGAGAGAGAGGGAGACACAGAATCCAAAGCAGGCTCCAGGCTCCGAGCTGATAGCACAGAGCCCGAGGCGGGGCTCAAACCCACAAACCGCGAGATCATGACCTGAGTGGAAGTTGGACGCTTAACTGACTGAGCCACCCAGGCGCCCCTGTTTTGTTTTGTTTTTTAATTTACATCCAGGCTAGTCAGCATATAGTATAATAATGATTTCAGGAGTAAAACCCAGTGATTCATCCCCTACATATAACACCCAATGCTCATCCCAATGTCTTCCTTAATGCCTCTTGCCCATTTAGCCCATCCCCCCACCCATAACCCCTCCAGGAACCATTTGTTGTCTACATTTAAGAGTCTCTTATGTTTTGTTCCCCTCCCTGCTTTTATATTATTTTTGCTTCCCTTCCCTTATGTTCGTCTGTTTGGTATCCTAAATTCCACATATAAGTGAAGTCATATGATATTTGTCTTTCTCTGGCTAATCTCACTTAGCCTAATACACTCTAGTTCCATCCACGTTGTTGCAAATGGCAAGATTTCATTCTTTTTGATTGCCGAGTAATACTCCACAATACTCCACTGTGCATGTGTGTATATATGTGTGTATATATATATATATATATATACACACACACACACACACACACACACACACACACCCCACATCTTCTTTATCCGTTCATCTGTCAGTGGACATTTGGGCTCTTTCCATACTTTGGCTATTGTCGATAGTGCTGCTATAAATATTGGAGTTCATGTGCCCCTTCAAAACAACACACCTGTGGGATGGATTTTCTGATAGAAAAATTTTCCTTGCACTGAAAACCAGTCCCTGTTCGAACTTCACTCAGTGGTCCTGCCTCTACCCTTGCCACCCCCCCCCCCAAAAAAAGAGCCTGCTCCCAGCTCCATTTGAAAGGCTTCTAACATAGCTCTGATTCTGATTCTTTATTTCTTTATTCCCACTCTTACCTGTTCTTACTCTAGCTACGGCTGGTTCAACACAAGCCTGATTGTGGAAGGGAGGAGGTATCTACAGTGGCTGACTGAAAGGTGAGAATTTCAACTTTAGTTTTAGGAAAGCACCTTACAGGGACCAGGGTGTGGTAGACAATTGTTCATGGGATTTGTCTTTGTATCGACCAGCCCCAAATGTTAAAGAAAACTCCGACTTGGTGGGAGCTATCCTTGGTTCTGATGACTCCTGTGCACTAAAACCAAGGTTCCCGCACCTGACGGGGCACCAGAACCATCTGGGCAGCTCTTTACATGTGATATTTACTGTTGACCTCACCCAAAATACATGATGTTTGTGGAGAAGTTTTAATGGATTCTCTTGAGGTTTCCAGATACATTTACGTCCCCCGCAAAACATAAGTTTTTTATTTTTATTTTTATACCTCATGTTTTTTCTTGTCTAACTGTTGTGGTCAGGACCTCCAGAACAATGCTAACTAACACAGGGGATAGTGGGTGTCCCCGTCTTGTTCCTGATGGTAACAGGAATCTTATAGTGTTCTAAATTAGCAAACACTAGCTTTGAGAGACATTTTTATATTGATAGTCATCTTAAGGAAGATTCCATATTTCCTATATATTACTGTTTTATTAAGATTTTTGGGCGCCTGGGTGGCGCAGTCGGTTAAGCGTCCGACTTCAGCCAGGTCACGATCTCGCGGTCCGTGAGTTCGAGCCCTGTGTCGGGCTCTGGGCTGATGGCTCAGAGCCTGGAGCCTGTTTCCGATTCTGTGTCTCCCTCTCTCTCTGCCCCTCGCCCGTTCATGCTCTGTCTCTCTCTGTCCCAAAAATAAATAAAAAACGTTGAAAAAAAAAGATTTTAAAAAATCTAGAATGGATGGGAGCATTTATCAAATGACCTGGGGAGCTTTTAAAAGATACAGATTTCAGGACCCCACTTCAAGTCTATTGAATCAGATCCTCTGGGGGCTTAGAAATTTGTGTGATTCTAATTATCAGCCAGGTTTGGAAACAACTAAGAAGCAATAAAAAAAAAAAAAAAAAAAAAACGTAGTTATCTCTCCTAACCTTAGGATACCTCTGACTCCTGCCTAGCCTCTTCCTAGACAGTAAGTTCCCACTTTTTCTATCTTGAGGGAATTATGTAGATAAAATAGTCCTGAAGTCATGCTTCACTTTTCACAGGATTTCCTTCCTGTTCTTTTGATGTTTCTACTGCGTCTCTAACAATGACAGATATTTTTCCCTCTGGGACATTTTGAGGGAGGGGTGGATGTCCCCAGCCCACCTTCCTCCTCATGCCCTGCTTCTGACAAAGGGGCGTTTAGCATTTGTCCAACCCTGCCCTGCTTCCACCCCGCATCTCGCTCTCCTTAATGGTATAAAGCAATATAGTAGTCGTAGGATGAGTTTTGAGCCAACACGCCTGGGCTTACGTTACGTCCCAATCCCATCATTGACTCACTGTACGACCTTCAACAAGGCCCTTCTTTCATCGCCATCTGCCCGACCAGGGGCTTGGACCATCTCAGGTTTCCCAAGGGACATTTCATGGACCACCAGTCTATCAAGGTGCTCATGAACTGACCTGACTACACAGCCATGTTCTCCAGGAGCAACCTGTGGGACTAATGTCCACAGAAGGTTCTTTGGGAAACATCTCCCATGCCATCCTCTTGGAGAGATGGGACAAATAACTGAGTCCTGGGTTTTTTTGATGTGTCTGATCACCCAGGTTAACTGAGAGGGGAGTGAAATTCTTCCAGAAGAAGGTGGAGTCTTTTGAGGAGGTGAGTTGCAAGGCTGGAAGGGGCTGGATATGGGAGGGAGGTGAGGAGGGGAGGCCTCTGCTTCCTGGTGCTGGACTGGGGGGCTCCTTGTTGGGCGCCCAGGATCCCCTGAGGCCTGTCCCAGTCACCAGGCCTTTCTTCAATCCCAGAAGGACTCAAGCATTCTGTCTTGATGTTGGTGGCAGGAACAAAGGGACAGTGGGATTATGGTGGCCATTGGAGGCTAATCTACCTCTAAGCCACGGAGGGTTTTAGGCCCAGAGAGCTGGCTGCCTCTTACCAGTATCAGCTGCACCCCACTCCTGAATTCCAGACACTTGGTTGCTTCCTACCTAAATCAGGGTTAATGTTTCTGCAAAGTCAAGGCTCTCAGCTGATTCAGCTCCAGAGTAACACCACCATCAAGAACAGCTATCCTCATCAGGCACTGGCTATATGCCAGGAGCTTTGCTGTATGACTTCACTCAATCCTAGCACCTAGAATTGTGCTCAGTACCTGCAGCTACCAGCATTATATAATGAGTACCTCCTCCGGATCGAGCCCTCCTGGGCACTTGGGATCCATGTTGACTTAGAAACAGCACTTATTCCCAAGGAGTTCACAGGCCAGTGTAGCAAAAACTGGTTCTTGAACAATAACAATGCTTCCAAAGTGTGTGTCCCATGACAAACCTGTGAAGGGAGTCACTGGGGCTGGGCTGGGTGTTTGGGTGCCCATGAGGTTACATCCTTGAGCTGTCAAGTATCCCACACAAGCACACAGCCAGGGGCTCCAACATGCCTTCTGAAAGTGCCTTAGCAGAGTGTGAGGCAAGAGAATGAAAATCAAAAGGTGTCAGAAGGAAGAAGAGAACTCTCTCTGCATCTGACTTCTTCTGGGAGGTTCCAAGAAGGTTCCCCCCTTCCACAGTACTCCTTCCCAAGCACTTTGACATCCAGGGTCACATTGGATCCTCGCACAGCCTAAGAAGAGATATTACCAGCCCTGCTTTACAGCGGAGGCACCTGGGCCCTGAGGAGGTGATGGAACCTTTCTGAGGTCACATAGCGGGTAAATGGCAGAGTGGAGATTTGGAGGCAGTTCCACGGATTCCTCACTGAGCCCGCTCCCCGCTTTTCTGTAGGGAGCTGCAGGGTATAGGGCAGGGGGAAGGAGGGGGTAAGCGGTACCAGGGCCCTCACCCCTTCCCACGCCACCTGCTCTGTTCATCGCTGCCAGGTAGCAAGAGGAGGTGCCGATGTAATTATCAACTGCACCGGGGTGTGGGCTGGGTCATTGCAACCGGACCCCCTGCTGCAGCCAGGCCGGGGACAGATCATTAAGGTGAGTGTGAAGATGAGGGATGGAACTTCCTGCTTTTCTTCATAGAGAGATTGTAGCTGCCTGCTTATTTCCTCTCCAAAGATAGAGGATGCATCGGGGACATCTGTTAGAGGAGCCTCGCAGATTTCAGGCAATTGGCATCTTAAAGAAACAAGAAGGACCAAGAAACATGATTCCTCCAAACATTCTCTTTGGTGGTGGTTGTTGTTGTTGTTGTTCCTTAATACGGCAAAGCATGGGTGTAAATGTTTGTACATACGTGGGAGTTGCATATTCTTGTAATATAATGAAAAGAGCAAACGTTTATGGAATGTTATTAGGTACAGGCCTGAGCACTTTATTGTGTTCTTAATTTAGTGCTTACCAGAACCCTTTGAGATGGGGTCTACACATGGCCATTGCTATTTTACAGATGGGGAAACACGAGGCACGGAGGGATTAAGTAATATGCACACAAGTTCACACAGGAGTGAGCTGTGGGATTGGGATTGGAACCCAGGCAACCTGGTTTCAGAGCCTGTGTGTGTCAACATCATCCACGTTGCCTCTCACTGTGTATGTGTGCACATGCGTGCAGGGTGCCTATTTGTGGGTGTGGGTGTGTACACCCGCCCATGTTGAGTGTACATGTGTTCCTGATGTGGGCTGATGTGTACGTGGATCGGCACACGTGTGCTGGGCTTCTCTGTGGTCATGCAGGCGAGAATGTGTGAAATTTCAGGGAGCAGGGGTGGCTCTTCCCGCAGGAGCAAGGAAGTCAGGGCAGAGGCGGGGCAGAGGGGTCAGGAGTGGGCTTGGGAATCGGCTCTGCCACCCTTGTCAGAACATCTGGGCACAGAGAGGAGAAGGGCAGGGAAGCCCAGTGATCCGGCTCCCCTGATAAGACTTGTCTGTCCTCAATCAACAGGTGGATGCCCCTTGGATGAAGCACTTCATTATCACCCATGACCCAGAGAAAGGCATCTACAAGTCCCCGTACATCATCCCAGGGTAAGAATCTGACGTCTTAGGATAGAACAAGGGGCACCTTCATGCCCTCTTTATGCTGCCCACCCCAAGTCCCTGAAAGCTTTTTCTCCCAGTGTTTTCTAAGTGAAGTCGAGCCACTAAATCCCTGGGAAGGCAAGACTCGGCCTTAACCGGGCTCTATCTTGAACAAGCTTTTGGACGACAGGCGTGGCGATACTGGAGACGAAGGTGGTGGGTGTGAGGGCAGGGATCCCGGAAGCGGTGTGACTGGAAATAACGAGAGGGCCGGTGGGAAAGGGGATATGGGTCGAAGGTGATGATGACATTCAGGGGAGAGGTGACGATGTTAGTGACGATGGTGGCTGCATTGTCACTGATGGGGAAGCCACTTCCTGGGGGTGGTGACTGGGACAAGGATGGTCAGGCGCTGACATTAATGGGGGGGGGCGTAGTGTCGATGACAAGGTCGGTAATGATGGCAGTGATTGGTATTTTTGATGATATCAAGATATAACTGACATATTGTGCACGCTTACGATGTACACGAAGATTTGATATATTACAACATGATTACCTCGGTAAGGTTAGCTGACACGCCCATCAGGTCCCACAATTACATCTTCCCTGTGCGTAGTGAGAATGTTATGGCTTACTCTTTCAGCAACTTTAAAGTCTATAATACGGGATCGCTAACTATAATCACCGCGTTGTGCACCGGAAGAGGTGACGATGTTGACAGTGACATTGGTGGTGACGGCAGAGATGCTGGTGGGTGGTGATGCCAGGGGCAATTGCAGTGGTGTTGACGGTGTGGATGGCGGCGGGGATGTAGGGAGAGATGGTTGTAAGGGTGAGCATGCCCATGGCCCCCATTAACCTCAAAGGCTTCATTTCCCCTCATCATTGACGCCCTTCACTTTTATCTAGGATCCAGGCAGTGACTCTTGGAGGCATCTTTCAGCTAGGGAACTGGAGCGAGGTAAACAACATCCAGGACCACAACACCATCTGGGAAGGCTGCTGCAGACTGGAGCCCACACTGCAGGTAAGGTGGGAGGGGTCCTGGCAGACTCGGGTCTGGGCAGCTTGACCATGAGACCCCTTGAGTATGGGAAGATACCTGGATAACTGGGCAAACTTCTTCTAACGAGGGACCGTGGAAGACACCAGAATTTGATAACGTACAAGGAAGTCCTGCTGTGAGCTGCTGACACCCATCTGTGGCTAAGAGTGGCTATCTTCTGTGGGGACTTGCCTAAAACCACCTTCGTCTGTCTTCACAAGGAGCAGATGTATCCGCTGTAGGGATCTCAGTGTTTACATTTGCCTGATTGTAGCAGTGACAAACGTGATATTGACGAGGGTGGGGGCGGAAGTGATGGTGGTATTGACTGGTAATGAATATGCTCAGGATGGTGATAATGATGGTGAGGAGGGGGTGGCCGGTGACATCGTGGTGATGGCTGGTGGTGGTGGTGATGATAATGAGGTTCCAAGAGCTAACCCTACCATCTAAAAATGGCAGCAGAAAAAAAAAAATCTGGAAATGAATTACTAACACTTTCTTTTTCCAGGATGCAAAAATTGTTGCTGAGTTGACTGGCCTCCGGCCAGTGCGCCCCCAGATTCGGCTAGAAAGAGAACAGCTTCGTTTTGCATCTTCAAACACAGAGGTATGCTCTCCTGATGAGGAAAGCAAGGGCCTCCCTTACCCGTAAGGGGGCTCTGGCATTTCCAGTCTTGCCTGACATCTGGCTCCACACAGCCTGCTGCCAGGAAAGAACAACACTGGCTGACATCCCCTCCTCTATAAAGAAACTGAGGCTCAGTGATGGGAAAGGACCTGCCGAAGGTTGCATAGAGGGCGGTGTGCCTCAGGGTGTCAAAGCCTGTGGTCGAGTAGAAGGGAAGTGGGTACTTACTGAGCCTGCTTTGTGTTCATGACACGAACAACCTTACTGATTCTCCTCTCCAGCTCTTGGGGATAGGGACTGTTTCCCCCATGCTTCAGATGAGGAAATCGGGGGTCTAGCAGGTAGAGTCATCTGCCTAAAGCAGACAGCTAGCGCGGGGCACGGCTGGGATGTGGTTTGAGTTTGACTCCAGCGCCGTTTCTCAGATGCCCATTTGTGGCCGCCCCATCATCTCTCTGGGGTCCCTCTTTGACGTTCCCTCTTATGAGGTAGGAACTGGGCTTTATTGAGGCTGCAGAAGTTGTCCTGGGCTGAAGGAACTGACCTGAGTAGCTGGGGTCCCCAAAGGAAAAGAATCCTCCTTAGGTAGATAGGTCATCCTTCCTTCCTTATCGCGGGCATGTGGTGTGCACCTTTGTGCATGTGTGTGTGTGTGTGTGTGCGTGCTTGCGTGCACATGTGCACACATACAGAGGAAAGCGTCACGTATAGAGTCAAACTCCCTGCCAATGATTTTGGCTTTAAAAAAGTCCCCAGGGGTCTTGCCTCTGTCCCTAGGATGAATTAGCATGCTAACCAGAGTCCACCCATATGTTGGCCCCACTTATCTTCCCCTCCCCGAACCCCCGAGATAGGTAGAAGAGTCTATCTATTAATACAGGAGGTTTGGCATTCCGGAGCAGGATGCGGACGAGAAAGGTGATGTAGGGAACTTCAAACAATTTGGGAGAGGGGAATCCCTGACCTCAAGTTCTAGACGATTCTACATTTCCTGTGCTGAGTGCCTAAAGCAGGTCCATCTCCTAAGCAAAAGAGAACCTAGGATGTCGACCCTCCAGTTCCCCAGTCACTTTACTGGTGTTCCTGGGGCCCCACCATCCCTCCAGGGAGCTGAGAGGCCCCCTGCTGCCCTCTGGCTTCACCCAGAACTCTGCAGGAAGCTCCCGAGTCTTCCAGGATGCACGGGGCTCCCGTCTCTCTTAACCTCTCCCAGGTCATCCACAACTATGGCCATGGAGGCTACGGGCTCACTATCCACTGGGGCTGTGCCCTGGAGGCAGCCAAGCTCTTTGGGAAAGTTCTGGAAGAAAGGAAGTTGCTCAAGATGCCGCCACCTCACCTCTGAAAACACCAGTAACCACCACCTCCCCAAGGACTCCCCGCTCCCCTCGGCCAACCAATCAGTGTATCCCCCTCTAAGCTGTCTCTTCTCCACTTCAGCCCTGGCTCCTTTCTGCAAGAAGTACCAGAGGAGAGGAAGATCCCAAGGCCATTTCTGGAGGCGAGTCCGTTCCTATCTGGGGCTCCCTTTGATCACTGGGGTCTCTCCACCCACTCTGGGCCTGACAGTCTGAAGAGCAGTTGGGGGCCATTATACTGCGAGTCCTTAGAAGAAAGGAAAGCTCAGAAAATCGAAGGGGCGGAGCGCCTGGGTGGCCCAGCATCCAACTTCCGCTCAGGTCATGATCTCACAGTTCATGGTTTTGAGCCCCACACCAGGCTATGTGCTGTTAGCACGAAGCCCACTGTTGATCCTCTGCCCCCCCCCCGCCCCTCCCCTGCTCTCTTTCTCTCTCTCTGTCTCAAAAATAAACATTTTTTAAAAAGGGAAATGAAAGGGGCAAGCAGAAAGTTGAGGATCATTTAGGTTAGGTCAGGTGACCTGACGACAAATTACTAACACATTAAAGGTTCTGGGAAGTCCCGCAGCAAGGACATCTAACTGATGTTCCTTCACGCAGCCTTCCTAAACGCATTTGGCCCCGGAAACCTTTTTGCCCAGAGCACCCATGCCACGGAGCGCACTTGAGGGAAGGCTGCGATAGATCTCCTTGCAGGAAGTCCCACGCAGAGCTGGAGTATAGGGAGGCAGAAGAAGTGAGGCCTTGAACTAGCCACATACGATACCCGTCCCACATCCAGGATTCCCAACAGCATCAGCAACCTGCCGAAAGGCCCCATGAGCCCCGACGAGGGGCCACTGGAAGGAGCATCCCACAAGGGACCCCTTCACAGAGAACTGAACTCACCACGCATAGTCCTTGTTGGGGGGGGGGGCAGATTTAATGTCTTTCTTCTCTTCTGGCTGGCACCCCTCTGAGATGACAAATGGACTTCCAGATGTTTCTGAAAGCCTTTAACGAACCTACAGGGCACCTTAGCACCTCTGTCCCTAATTACCTGCCTCAGGCTCTGAGGTAGAATTTGCATCTGTCTGGGCTTTTGGGGGAGACCAGAGCCCGGAGGAAGCCTTCCTGCATCTGGGACCCGTGGCCCCCTTAGTGCTGTGACGAGGTCTTGACTGGCCCGTGCCATGCCGTCTACATCCACGCCATCACCGTCTTCTCCTTCCCATGCTCAGTGGGGTCTTCGTGATTTGGGATGGCACTGAGCTAAACAGAGTGAGGGATCCAAGAGCTAAGGTAGAGTTCCTATCCCAGGAATAAGAATAAATCATTATTATTATACCTAAAATTGATTGCATTCTAACTGGGCGTCAGTGCTAAACTCTTGCATAAGTTATTCACGTTATTCCCAGTCAGCAGCTGGGAAGGGGTGGAAAGGAGATTCTGGGCCAGGAATTGATGAATTTAGAGAGTTATTATCTTTCCTCGTTGAATTGTCTTGGTACCTTTGTCAAAAATCAATTGACCACAGTGGCGCCTGGGCGGCTCACTCGGTTGAGCGTCCGACTCTTGACTTGGGCTCAGGTCATGATCTCACAGTCCATGGGATCAAGCCCCGCATCGGGTTCTGCGCTAACGGTGTGAAGTCCGCTTGGGATTCTTTCTCTCTCCCTCTGCTCCTCCCCCCATTCAAAAATAAAGAAGGAAACGTTTAAAAAAAGTCAATCGTGATCATAAATACATGGGTGAATTTGGGGAACTTCAATTCTACTCCATTGATCTGTATCTGTACCCTTATGATAGTAGCCCACTGTCTTGATTACTGAGGCTTTATAAGAAGTTTTATAATTAGGAAGTGTGAGTCTTCCACATTTATTCATCTCTTTCAAGATTTTTTTTTTTTTTTGGCTCTTCTGAGTCCTTTGTGATTTCATATGAATTCTACACCCAGCTTGCCAATTTCTGCAAAAGAAGAAACAGTCAGGGATTTTGATAGGGATTGTGTATTTATAGATCAATTTAGGGAGTACCTACGTACTTGACGACTGTTAAGTCCACGAACAAGGAACGTTTCTCCATTTTTTCAGATCTTCAGTTTCTTTAAGCCACGTTTTGCAGTCTGTAAAAGCCTTGTACTCCTTTTGTGCAATTTATTCCTAAGTGTTTTATTCTTTTCGATGGTATTGTGAGTGGAATTTTTGTTTTCTTATTGCTGAATCTGCAAAGCAGTCTGTTCCCTGGCATTGATGGGGGCAGGGGGATTTGAAGTGGTTCATCCCCGAGTATTCTTGATTAATCGAGAATGATTATTCGTGACGTGTCTGTACGCTTAAACGTCAAAGAATCAGAATGCAGCCAAGTACCCCCAGTGACTAAAGTCTGATTGAAACCACTGAACCTTTGAAGAGTGAGAAGGGGCTCCAGGATGTCGTGGGGCTTCAGGATTGGCATTCTGTGTGCCTCCTGTTACACTGTGCATCCCTCCGGTAGGGTTCACATCACACTGTATCACAATGACCTTGTTTGTGCCTGTTCCCCGCACTGCGCCGTGAGTTCATGAAGGTAAGGACGTGTCTTATTCCTTTTTGTATCCTCAGTATTGAGTATCATGCCTGACAGATGCATGGTACATACTCCAAGCACACTGGCCCCATGCCAGGACACGGTTACAACAGACAGACGCAAGAGTTAACACGCATGTTGCTGTGGGCTCCACACACCTCTGTTCCACTCACTTACGTTCCCTGGTGCCACGGGAGGAAATTAACTCCTGGTCCCAGCCTTACAATAAAGCTGTGTTTCTTCGCTCGAATTAAGCTGGGTCCGATTTCTATTCCTTGCAGTTAAAACGGCCTTGAGAACTCCGTGGCAAGGCTCCCCTCAACCATCCCCCTCTCACCATCCTTCCTTCTTCATGCTAACAGAACCCCAATTTGTGTTCAAGAAGCTGTGTACCCCTCGATCCTATGGGAAGGAGGCCCTTCCTTCTCTAGCCCTGGAGGAAGACACATGCTTTTTTAGACTCAGTCCTTTTAGAAAGAAAACTTCCTGCGACTGTTCCTTCCCCATTCTATCTCCTTTGAAAAAAATGTGATGCCTGGCACCTTGGCAGCCATCTTGTGATCTTAAGGTTTCACGCATAGGGTCAAATGGCCAACTGGCAGAGGATGGCATAGAAGAGAAGCAAAAGAGGCGGGTTCTTGATAACATCTTTGAGCTGCTGAGTCTTCCTTAGAACCACCTGACCCTGGGCTTGTCATTAAATGAAGAACTGATACTCAAACGGGTAAGCTACTGTTGACTGGTTTTACTTCGGCTTGCAGCTCAAGGTTATCCCAGACCTTTGATGTTTACTAGTAGTAACCAAGGGAGACTCTTGATCTTATCCTTCAAGGCTCTCTGTAACTTACCACTGGTCAAAAATCATGAATATCTGTATTCATTCCAAAGGCCATCCCTAAGATACTCTTATGTCATTGCCAACACATCTCACTTCTGGGTTCTAAGACTACTCGGAATAAGGGAAAGAAAGAAATTACAAAGCTTAGCTACACTGAACATCTCTTACCATTTTCTGAAATCTTTCCTAACACCAAGAGAAAGGGAGGACATTTCCATTAATGTAAGCAGGAGCTTTGGGATAGTCCAAAGTTAGATACAAATGTCTTCAGCCAAAGGCCTTGTATATTTCAGAAGCTTGGACAGCTTCTGTGCAGTTCTTGTGTCACTTTTTCCTGTGCATTTTTCCTGCACAGCTCTTTTTTAAGGGCAGGCAATTTAGAAGGCAAAGAGTTTTAAGATTTCATCTTCTCAAGAAGAGAAAGCCCTCAACTGCAAGCCTCACTGCCCCCAGCACCCGGAAAATACTCCTGCCCACCAAGCACTCTTTCCCCACCCTGGCCCCTGGCTCCTCCAGGTTATTTGAGGGTGAGTGTAAGGGGACATCTGGCAGTCTCTGGACAGCAGGGAGGGAGTGAGGGAAAGAAGGGAAAGAAGGAAAAGAAAGAAAAAAAACAAGCAAAAGTTCTGCGTTACCCAGGAGAGCTCAGCAGATCAGAAATAATGAGAGGCATAGCCACCCATGGTTTAAGGAAAGGTGGGTGTCTGGGAGGGATAGATCCAAGGTGGCCAAGCCACCTCCTCTCTGGCTGCCGGGCCAAGGGGGCTGCAGTCTGTATTTTAGGCCCATGGGATTGTTTGCCATTGACCCACGACCTGGGCTTGCAAAAGTCACCCACTGTGACCTCCACACCATCAAAAGAGAGTGTCGTCTCCATCAGACTCAAAGTCATGACATTGGCCACCAACTTGTGCAACTTGTCCACCATATTGGAAAGATTATCCTACCACAGCATTGCGATGACCCTGGATGGACAAAGTTGGCAAGGTCCTTAAGGTGAACCGTCACTAGGACATCATGACACATGGACAAACTTGGACCCTTACGATGTCCATCACCAACATGTTTTAATAAGAGATGAACATACACATTTGGCTTCCTCAAAATGTTTGCTTCAAGCAGGCATCTCCACGCAGAAGGTCAGTCTTCTCTGGCCTTTGATGGGATCCAGCAGCTTCCTCCCTCCTCCTCTGGCTTCCCTGCCTTCATGATGGGGAAAGGGCTCATGTAAACCAAATCCTGGAGGCGGATGCGGTCTGCTGAGACATGGGGCCAGCCCTTCCTCCGGAGGCCAACCCCAAACCCAACCGAGTGCTCTTCTGTTCCTTTGAAAATGTACACATGTCACACGTCCGGGCCCTCCCGTTCCTCCCCACTGGTGGCTGGGAACGAGGGCTGGGACCCCAGGAGCTACCTGTATGTAAAGACCAAGCCAGCCCTTGAGAGCAGAGAGGAAGAAACCAGGGAGGAAGGATTCCTGGTTCCCTGATCCCAATGGGAGTGAGTGGGTGATCCCTTCATTTTCTGCCCATTTAGCCACGTACCCACCCTCCAGCTCCAAAGTACGGAAACCTGAGTTAACGGTTTTCTTTCTCCAAGAGTCACCAACCAGCCTGATCGACGAAGGGGTCCGAAGGGGAGGCCCCTGCTTTGGCTTTGGGCTTTATCCTCACCTCCTCTGGCCGCAGTCCCCAATTCCTGGGGGCGGGAGAGGACGACGGCTTTCTGGGGGTGTCATCTGGGGTAAGCCCGGCTGTCCCCTTGGTCATGCGCATCTCCTGGAGTCAGGGAGAGCAGCCCCAGAGGGGCGAGGAGGGGACACGTGGCTCAAGTTCAAATGCACGTCCATCTGCCAGACTGTCCACTGGGCAGGCCATGGGGAGGCAAACCGAGGAGCCCCTTCTGAGAGGGCATCTCTCAGACCCAGGAAAAAGCTGTTCAAGCCACATCTGGGTCACCCACGATTTCAGAGAAGAAAGCCTGGGGCTGGGGGTGTAGGAGAACCTACTGAACAGGTACTGTTGGTGGATGGCAGGTGTTGACTCCCTGGGTGGCAGGTCTTAATGGGGCTCTGGGCCTGGACTGTATCTACAGAGATTTGTTGGCTATTGTTCACCAAGGGTGTGACTGGCTGACTCCGGGTGGCGCCCGGTTGGCCTTCTCCCATGCAGGTCCACAGGTTATTGACAAACCTCCCCCCCCACACACACAGAGAACCCCCCAGAGCAAATGCCTCCCCATTCCCAGGTGGATCTCGATGAATATGAGCAAACAGAGTCAAGACACAAAACCCTGTTGGTCCAGGTTGTCCCCCCCTCCCCCGGGGTAAGTTCTGGATGTCGGCAGTGACGGTCGGTGCCCCAACTGGGTTCCACCAGCTCCCTGCCTTCTACAGCCCCAAAGACCAGCTCAGCCCTGCATCGGTCACTACTCCTGAGAGCCAGAGTTCGACCTGGTGATGCCTGTGCCGTGCGCCCCTCGACCGACCATCTCCTGGCCCCACTCCCGGTGGCTGGACTCCTGCAGTCCGCGGCCTTTGGTCTCGATGGGCAAAAAGCAGGAGGCCAGGGCGGCCAGGAGGCAGCAGCCACTGTAAACTGCCAGCGTCAGGTACACGGAAGATTCCAGCATGACCTGGGGGAGGGAGACACGTGCCGGTGAGGGCGTCCCTCCTGAGTCACAGATGCCACCGACCCTTCGGGAGGTACTGATGCCTCCAGGCCCTCTTGTAAGCGCTCTCTGCACTGATCCCATTGAGTCCTCACGACAGAGCGAGGCACGTGTCCCCATTTTGCAGAGGGGAAAAACTGAGCCTCAAAGAGGGGTAAGTAAGTGGCATACTCGAGTTCTCACAGATACTCAGGACGGGGCTGGGATTTGAGCTCTATCCCCATCAGGCTCTAGGAAACGACACTCTCTCTCAGAGCAGGACCTCTGCGGACTTTCTAGATTAACAGCAGAGCCCAGCCTCATTTGCTCATCTGCCAGATGGGTAAGGGCAGTAACCCCCTCCCAGTGAGAGGAAACCCCAAGACGACTCAGTCCCCTGCAGGCGCGTGGCCAGCTCTCAACCAACAGTAGGTAGTGGGGACATACACTGGCCAGACACAACAGCCCAGAACAGAGCTACTTGGCTGAAACATGTGGCGGAATTCTATTTATGTGAAAAATCCAGAACAGGTACATACAGACAACGCACAGGGGCACCTGGCTGGCTCAGTCGGCAGAACACGCGACTCTTAATCTTCGGGTCACGAGTTCAAGCCCCATGTTGGGTGTAGAGCTTCCTTTTAAAAAAAAAATGCACCTTGGGAGCCCCTGGGTGGCTCAGTCGGTTAGGCTCCGACTTCGGCTCAGCTCACGATCTCACAGTCCGTGGGTTCGAGCCCCGTATCAGGCTCTGTGCTGACAGTGCAAAGCCTGCTTGGGATTCTCTCTCTCCCTCTCTCTGGCCTTCCCTTGCTCTTGCACTCTCTCTCTCTCTCTCTCCAAATAAATAAACTTAAAAAATGCACCTTGGGGTCGGCAAGGGAAGAGGGGAAAAAAGGGGGTAACTGTCTAATGAATAGGACTTTTTTGAGGGGGGGGTATGGACTTTTATTTGATGACAATGTTTTGGAACTAGATAGGGGTGGTGGTTGCACAGCACTGTGAATGTGCTAAATGTCACGGACTTGTTCACTTTAATTTTTTAGACTTTATTTCTTTAAGTACTCTCTACACCCAATGTGGGGCTTGAACTCAGGACCCTGAGCTCAAGAGCCGCATGCTCTTCCCACTGAGCCAGCCGGGCGCCCCTGAACTGTTCACTTCAAAATGGTTCATTTTACGTTATGAGACTTGTACCTTGGTTAAAACAAAACAAAACAAAAAAAACAGCGATAAAGGCTATTAAAAAAAGCAAAACGACTTCGAAATAAGATCCCTAAAAACGGACAGAAATGCTTCAAGACACACAAGGGGCTGCAAAATTCTGCAAAAACACCTCATTATCCAACTCCGAAACCATGGCCAGGGACATCTGTTTCCCACTAAATCATGTTGTTTTCAACAGTTTGTTTTCCTCCAATTTGTTTTTGGCCCAAACAGAGGACGCACCCCCGCCCCCACACCCCAGGTCTTCTGCATAGGAAAGACTTGGGTTTGAGTCCCAGCTTCTCTGCTTCCCAGCCGTGTGACCTTGAGCAAGTCGCTTTGCCTTTCTGAGCCCGTTTGCTCATCTGCAAGCAACACTGTTCCTTTCATAGGAGGGGCTGTTAGGGTAAAAGGAGATGATGTGCACGGAAGGTTCTGCAGACGTCTCAACGTGGTGTGACTGCTTTCTGTGCTCTGGCTTTTGCGCCCCTCCCCACCTCCCCCCAACCCCGGATTCGGAGGTGACACCTACCTGAGCAATGAACGGAGTAATGAGAGCACCCACTCTGGCCATGCCACTGCAGGTGCCCAGGCCGAGCGCTCGAGTTGCCGTGGGGTAGACCTGAAACACAGCCATGGATGCGGGCTTGAGAAAATGCAGGATCCTCCCCCCAGCCCCACTCTGGCTCAGGAGTGATAGGACTGACGCCCGCGGGCCCGGAGTTAGCGTGGCTCACTCGGGTGTTGGTGACCCCATCGAGGGGTGGGAGACCAGGTGGGGGTTCTTATCTCAAAGGGGATAGGAGGTTCAATGGAGAAAGAGGGCGAGAGGCCAAGCTGTGGGTGGGAACCCAGTTAGGGGTCCTCGGTGCCCAGGGTGGCTGGCCTCCAAAGACTCCGCCAGGAACCACTCCCCATTCTGCATCCAGATACTGTTCTCCTGCCTCTTTTCATTAGTTCACCCCGCAGCACCGGCCCCAGCCTTTCAAGGCATTTCATTGAGACAGAGGTTGAAATGCTTACACAGTTTCTCAGTTCGTACCCAGAGTGGCCCCGTGCCTAGCTCTCCCTCGGGCAAAGTGAGAAGTGCCTGTGCATCTTCCAGACCAAGGCAGTGTCTTCTCCACTCCCTTCCCCAGTCCGCTGGCTGGAAGGAGGACTCCAAGGCCCTGGGGCAGGATTTTTCAACCTTGGCACTGTGGCCCTTTGGGGGTGGGTCATTCTTTGTGGTGAGGGGCCGTCCTGGGCATCGGCAGATGCTTAGCAGCATCCCTGCCCCCTACCCGCTAGATGCAGGGGAACCTTCCGCACGCCTCTCCTGAGTTGTGACAACCCAACGTATCTGCAGACATTGCAAATGGCCGCTGGGGGGGCAAAATCACCCTTGGTTCATCATTACTGGATGAAGTTGCAAGATGCAAAGAACTTGGGTCCCTGAATCACTGTGGAAATGGAGGCTGTCCACCAACCTGGAACACCATGTTGGACTGTTTCATTAGTGAGAAACTGCTGTTGGGTCAATACATTCCCTTTGAGGAGTATTTGTTACAGCAGCTAGCGTGCCTCTAACAACTCCAATGCTCTGTGCAGAAGCTCGGGAACAATGAAGAATGTGAAGGGAAAAATAAAATTCACGCATGATCCCAAAACTCAGAGATAACCGTTGTCACGTTTGAATGTATATCCTTCCAGGTTTTCTACGACCGTATACACATCTACGTTCGTTCGTTTATTTATTCGCTCAGCAAAGTTTTTGAGTGCATACCATATGCATTTACCTGTGATATTTTATTTTTTTCTACTTTTTAGTGTTTATTTGAGAGAGAAAGAGAGAGAAAAAGAGAGTGAGCCCACGGGGGAAGGGCAGAGAGAGAGAGCCAAGCAGGCTCTGTAGCTATCGGCACAGAGCCTGATGCGGGGCTTGAACTCACAAACCGTGAGATCACGACCGGAGCTGAAACCAACAGTCTGACGCTTAACCCACTGAGCCACCCAGGCACCCCTACAGAGGATATTTTAATTCACCCAACGACACAAGCAACATATAAATATATTCTCCTTGTCAAAAATGAAATCACCCGGCCGTCCTTGGATCTACAACCTCTCCTAGGAAATACTCCCCAGAGGTTCCCACTATTAATAAGGTGTGGAATGTATCCACCCAGGTGTGTTAAAAAAATATGTGTATACAAAATACACAGCATCGTTTTAAAAATATAAACGGTATCATAGCGTACCATTCTGTAGCTTGCTCTATCCATTCAGCGCTATGTCTTGAAATCTTCTTGACATCGTATATAGATACCTACCTCGTTCTTAACTGCTCATAACCACCTCATCATTAACTACCGTAACTGTATTCCCCGGCGGATGTTCCACAGTTTACCATTCAAACGAGATCGACAGACATAGTATTAGAAGAGGGGCACAGACACTGAATGCACAAGGAAGTCAGGGGAGGGGGAGATCTGGGAGGGCTTCTTGGAGGAGGCAGGATTGGAGCAGGGTGAGGACGATGACTCGGAGCGAGGGCTCCGGGGTGCTGCAGGAATGAGGGCTAATCCAGACACCCTCTTTCCCCTGGCACAGTATCTGGTATATAATATTCTCCTTCTCCCTTTGCTTCTATCTAAAGTAAGATGAACTAGGGGCACCTGGGTGATTCAGGTGGTTAAGCACCTGACTCGTGATTTCAGCTCAGGTCATGATCTCACGGTTTTGTGAGTTCGAGCCCCGCATCGGGCCCAGCGCTTGCAGCTCAGACCTGCTTTGGATTCTCTGTCTCCTCTCTCTCTGCCTGCCCCCCACCCCCCGCGCTGTCTCAGTCTCTCTTAACTAAACTTTGAAAAAATAAGATGAAATAAAATACAATAGAGATAAAATAAACAACCCATAATCCCTGAGTGTGGGAAACTGAGACACGCTCAGACGCTATTGTGCGGAGCGCAAACTTGTACAACATCTTAGAAAGTGATTTTTCTTTTTTTTTTTTTGAATTTTTTTTTTCAACGTTTATTTATTTTTGGGACAGAGAGAGACAGAGCATGAACGGGGGAGGGGCAGAGAGAGAGAGGGAGACATAGAATCGGAAACAGGCTCCAGGCTCTGAGCCGTCAGCCCAGAGCCTGACGCGGGGCTCGAACTCCCGGACCGCGAGATCGTGACCTGGCTGAAGTCGGACGCTTAACCGACTGCGCCACCCAGGCGCCCCGTATAAAGTGATTTTTCAACTCATCTCAATGTTTGTAACGTTGATAGGCTTTCACTCAACAATTCCGTATCTTGGCATTTATTCTACAGGAAGGATACATGTGCCCAAGACTATACAAAGCTGTTTACCTCAGCACTGTCTGTGATAGTGAAAAGTTGGAAAACAAGCCAAATATCCGTAGAATTGTTATCAACTTATGACTTGTCCAGGGTGCCTGGGTGGTTCAGTTGGTTAAGCGTCCGACTTCAGCTCAGGCCATGATCATCGCATGGCTTGTGAGCTCGAGCCCCTTATCAGGCTCTGCACTGACTCCCCCACTCTCTCTCTCTCTAAATAAATAAATAAATAAACTCTTTAAAAAATTATGATTTGTCTGTACTATACTGTAAAGTATATAATATATATGCATATATAAACCATATAGTATAATAAAGTATAGTATATAATATAAAGTATACATATTATATAGCATAGTATATAATATACATAGTATTTATAGTATAATAAAATAGAGTATATAATATAGTTATATACGACACAGGGAGGTATAAAAATATATATATATACTATATAGTATAATATATAATCTACATAGTATTTATAGTATAATAAAATGCAGTATATAATATATAGTTATATACTACACAGTATTGTATAGAGAGGGATAAAAATATATATATATACTATATAGTATAGTATATAACATACATAGTATTTATAGTATAATAAAATGCAGTATATAATATATAGTTATATACTACACAGTAAAGGGAGGTATAAAAAAACATATATATATACTATATAGTATAGTATATAATATACATAGTATTTATAGTATAAAAATGCAGTATATAATATATAGTTATATACTACACAGTATAGTAAAGGGAGAGATAAAAAATATGTATATATACTATATAGTATAGTATATAATATATATAGTATTTATAGTATAATAAAATAGAGTATATAATATATAGTTATATACTACACAGTAAAGGGAGGTATAAAAAAATATATATATATACTATATAGTATAGTATATAATAGACATTTATAGTATAAAAAATGCAGTATATAATATATAGTTATATACTACACAGTATAGTAAAGGGAGGGATAAAAAATATGTATATATACTATATAGTATAGTATATAATATATATAGTATTTATAGTATAAAATGCAGTATATAATATATAGTTATATACTACACAATACAGTAAAGGGAGGTACAAAAATATATATATATTATACATACACCATATAGTATAGTATGTAATATGTTGTATATATTAGTATATTGTATACAGGATATACTATACGTAGTAAATATTGTATATATAGTATAGATTCGTAACTGTTAAAAAGAACAAAGTAGATTCCTATGTCCTGGGCTCATAGTCTTTCATCTTTCCCTCCGAATTTCCCCACCTCATTCTCTGCCCTGGGGCTGGCCGATGTGGACCACCAAGGGTTCCCTGGCCTTCTGGCTTCTGGTTAGGCTCAGCCAATGGGCAACCCCAGCGGGAGATGGGAGGGGGTAGAAGAGAGAGGTCGGGGTATTTATTCTCCTGATCTTCCCCTCCAGGCTGCCTCAGTCCCGTGCGTCCCTCAGCTGAAGGTCACAACTTCTCTCTACGCAGCTCTCTCCCGGGACCCTGGAGCACTCCCCTCTCAACATCCCACCGACTCTGGGTGGGTGGCGGCAGAGTCCCCAGCCACCTTCACCCCACTGCAAGCTCGGGGGCACTGCTATGTCACGTTCATGTTTCCCTCAGCCTTGTCCCTCACCACTGTAATTAGCTTCTGTATTAAAACTCTTCCCAGTTGCTCGCTTACCCAATCTGGTACACCCACTAACATAAATTAGTGTATGCTTCGAAAAAAACTGAACTATTCAAAAAGGTTGTGTCTAGGAAGGGAGAATGTGGGGCCCTTTAATTTTTGGTTTTATACCGTTCACTACCATTCAGAATTTTTACCTTGAACATTAGCTTTCATAAGCAAAAAGCAAAAAAAAAAAAAAAAAAAAAAAAAAAAGACGGGAAGATAGCCTGAAAAAATGAAGAGCTTCACTGTTCCCACCCAGACAGACCCAAGCCCAAGGATAAATCTCATGCTGAGGATCCCAGGCTGGATGTTTCTGAAAGCAGAGCTCCTTCCCTCCCCGACCCGGCTGCTCCCAGACACCTCTCCTACCTCAGGTGTGTAAACATAGGCTGCCTGGAAGCCTCCAGAAATAAACGCTCTTGCAATGAAGAGTAACAGAGTGAGCATATTTCTAGAGAGAGAAATAAAAACGTCGATGAGCAGGTACTTCTTTCTGTTGACTTGTTTCAGCAGAGTCCTATCTGCCCAGGCAGAATTTATACCCTAGAAATGGGCAAAGCCCACCCTCACCCAATCCACACAGGCACACAATCCCAGGGCCATCTCTAAAGGCCTGCCTTTATAAATTTTGTCTTTCTCCAAAGTCCAGGGTAAGAGCTGCAAACATCTGTGGAGTCCAGGTTGGGGGCAAGGTCAGAGAGAAGTGATATAAACCACTTCAAAATCCAGATGGAACCTTGTAGGGGCAGGAATTGAGTCAGGTGCCAGCTGAGCCAGTGAAAGCAAACTTCTGTTCAGTATTTTTAGGATAATCCTGACCCCCGACCTTCTGTTCCATTGTTCCCATAAATGTCTAAGAACACCCCCATGTCAGGGTCTAAGCTTCCTCTCCAGACCTTCCACAAATTCATCAGGTATGGTCTGGGGCCTCTCCGAGAGCAAGAGAGGCACAAGCCACTTCCATATTTTGAGGCTCTTGATGGAAAAATGGAGAAACGTCAAAAGGGGATTATAAACCAGGACCCTGAAGTATTTCCATTGAACAAAGGAATGCTTTTAACCCATACATAGAGAGCTGTATGCGTGATCTCACTGGCAGACAATGTCCAAAGTCTAAAAGTGACAGTGTTGGGGCGAAACCTGAACCAAAGTGCCCTCCCACCCTTAACCCCATCAGAGGCGCAAATATGAACCCGATCCTGTGGTCAAGAGTCAAGAGTCCTAGTGAGGGGCTGGGGAGGGATCTCTCAGATGACCACCAGGAGTACAGTCCACAGCTTACAGACCCAAAGAGCCACTGACCATGCCCTGAGAAGTGGGCCTGCTGGCCAGAGAGAGGGGGTTTCACGACCCACCTTCCGACACAGATAAACAGCAGGAGGCTGCACAGGGAGAAGATGACGAAGCACAGGGCCATGGTCTTCTTGCGGCCCAGGCGGTCAATAATCCACAGAGTCACAAGGACACCTGGAAGAGAGCAGGGCACCATGGCAGGCAGCTTCCAATATGGCTCCCAACACCCCCTGGTATTCACACCCCGCATAATCGCTACCCTTGAGAGTGTGCTGGACCCAGCAAGTCGCTTCCAATGACTAGAATATAGAAAAGCGTTGGGATGTCACTTCTGAGATGAGGTTATAAAAGACTGCAGCTTCTGTTTTGCTGGCATTCTCTCGCCCCCTGACTCTTCTTAGGTGCTGGTCTTAATGGAGAAGACTACCTGGCGAGGAGCGAAAAGTGGCCTCTGGCCAACAGCCAGTGGAGAACCGAGGCCCTCAGTCCAACAACCCTGGAGGCATTGAATCCTGCCAATGACCATGTGAGTGAACGTTAGTCCCTTGCGTTCTCAGGGCCTCAGTTACTTCCCCTGCAAAATGGGACTAAATAAAAATAAGATTCCCTAACCTCAGTAGAGACACTACAGCATGGTGCTTATTATTAATAATAACTGTTAAATGTGGGCTCAGCACTTTTACATCTGTTATCTTGCTTCATCATCAAAACAACCCCCCAAAATAAATGCTCGCAATAGCCCCACTTCCCACACTTATTCATTAAAAAATTAAGTGCCTATCTTTGTGTTAGGAACTGTTGTGCTAGGAGCTTGGGATACGCCAGTGAACAGAAACAACAAATCATAAATGTAACAAGAATTTGTTCTGGGGCGCCTGGGTGGCGTAGTCGGTTAAGCGTCC